ATATTATAGATACATTTTTTGTGATTTTTTTTATATATTTTTTGCACTTTCTTGCTTATATACTATAACGACCCGAAACTTAAAAAAAAGTAAATTATAAATTGAATGTAAAAACGAAATAATAGAGTTAGAATTTACATTCCTTACACAATAATTTAGAATACCCAATAGAATTACGATATTGACCCTTCTAAAAGAACAAGCTAAAAATCAAAAAATAAATGAAAGTAAACAATTAGGTATTATAAGACGACCTTCACTAACATTTGAAATGAGTCCGAGTGGTGAACTATTCACAACTCCCTTATTGATCGGAATCTGGATCTTGATCCTCTTAATATGAAATAATTAATAAAAAGGTGAGCTACACTAGCTTAGTAAGCCTATCACACTACTCACCAATACAGAAATTGAATGTTGGTAAAAATTATAAAAATAACTAATGTAACTCTTAATTTAAGTAAATTAATTTATCATAAGTAAAACTATTTATTACATAATTACCGTTGTGAGATTTTCAAAACCGACATATAGAGATAATAGTTTAACAACATCATAATCTCATATTCAAGTAAGTAAAAATAAGAAAATTCTATTTTCATTTGCCTACTAGTATCCATGGGAGTCCATAGGGATGTCCCCATACCTCATCCCGTATGAGTGTCAAAATACTATCTCTCAATACCCTGTTTGGTACGAGGGTAAAGCGGGTCGTCCCCATACCCCGTATGGTATGAGCGTTCAAATATTATCCCTCAATACTCAATCCGGTATGAGAGTAAAACGGGTTGTCCCTATACCCCATCCGGTATAAGCACCAAAATACCAATTCTCGATACTTTATCCGGTATGATGGTGAAACAGACCGTTCTCATACCCTGTCCGGTATGAGCACCAAAAATATTAATAATTGATATCTCGTTTGGTATAACGCGATGTTCATAGTAGGGTTCCCTATGTACTTAATCCGTCAACCATCTCCCAATATATCCAGTAAGTCTATCATTAA